TTTATTATTATTATAATCTCTCACTTCAATTCTGTATTGTGATATAGTGCACGGGGCCATCGCATTAGATCAAGAATAAATGCATGAGGTCACAAGCAATAAGAGCAAGGGAAACATACAAAAAAAAAAGCATCGGGACACTTCCCATGCAGCGCCGTGACGCACTATCCCCGCACGCTGCTCGCGTGTGTTCTGCAGGAGCCGTCATGGCGGCCGCGGACTCGGGTGACCTTGAGGTTCCGCCCGCGGAGCGCCGGCCGGAGGCGGGGCGGGAAGGGGGGGGGCGTGACCGTCTCCAGCTTACCGGTATAAAGTGCACCAGCCCGGCCACTGGCTCTTCACTCCACTGAAAGTCAGAGTTTCCGGAAGGGCAGAGGAGCTGTAACTCACAAACGGTAAGTATGTGGTTTCCTGAAGCTGGACTTTGTGTTGAGTGTCTAGGGATGTAATAGGGCTCAATATACCACTTTTTTGCGCCTTTGTATTTGGAGCTATCGGATAGACTATTTGCATCTGTCGTCTGTGCACCTAGCAGTCGTCTTGCTGTGAAGTGCCCAGTTCTGTGCGGAAAGGTCTTGTTTTCGGAGGCTGCAAGGCTGTATCTTCCTCTAATGACGCGCTCCTACTGCACAGTACCGCTGTTCTTCGCTTGATTGGGGTTCTCTGCTCCTCCGTCTTGAAACACCTCCGTTTCGCGTAAAGGAATACTTGTAGTGTGTGGGGGTGGAGAGATGGCGACCTGCTTGCTTCATTGTCGCTTACCGTTTAGCGAGCGAGCACAGCGGCGCAGTCTCAAGTCTAGCATGGCGCCGTGTGTGAATCGTAAGCTCGCTGCGTTGTGAGTGCGCCGATGTTCTACGGAATACGGCTCCCCTCCGACATAGGTGCGAGTTTAATGTTCGCCAGTTCTCATTTCTACAGGATGCTTAGTGTGGGTGGGCGGTATCTGTTGAAGTGCCTAGGGACGGTTCTGGCTTCGGTACAACCTTGTACTTAAAGGAGAAACGGGAAAACTTTTGGAACTAGTTTCGTTTTTTTATTTTTGGCGGTTGGCTTATGACGTTTTAGACGCTACTGCGCCTGAGCTTGTTCCGTGTCATTCGGGGTGCATTTTTTCTTAATGTTTTTTTTGTTTCCTCCTTCTAGACGAGGACTTTAACCTGTTAACCATGGTGAAAATTGGAATCAACGGGTGAGTAAACCTTCATCAGGTCACTGATCCACTGTGTGGAAGGTGTAAGTGATCCAACTTTGTGTGTTGGATCTAGTGCACATGAGAGCCTCATTTCAAAGTCTAACGTCCTGAAAGGGCCTGCCATCTCATTCTTGTAATTCGGTTAACCTGGTTTCATTTAAGCATCTAACCAGTTTTGGAGGTAACTGGCTTTCATTCTTTCAAGATGTGCATTTAGCTTTGAATGCTTTAGGCTTCATGAGGAGGAGAGCTCTTGACTTGAAGTGGCTCTCCACCTTGGCCTTTAAGCAGTGCCTCCAAATTTGGGAGTGTTGTTCAACGGAGCTCAAAAGGTCAGGAGAGGAGCAGATAACGTCTCTTCTGCCCCAGTGGAACCTGTGGGCCTACATGACCTGCTTGGATTAAGGGGAAACTTGATTGCTCCACTATATAGTGTGGGTAGTAACTATCCCTCCAGATCCTGGTTTCACATGGCTCTCTTTGAGGTCCTTGTGCCTTACATTGACTGAAATGGCTAAACCTCAGTCTGTTATGTACTGATCTGGAAGAGGCTGTGCTATTTGTACCGCTCTGGACATGAGTACACAACAGCAGGGGCTTAATCTGACTCTTATTGTAGGTGCTCATTTGCAACCTAGGGTGCACCAGCAACTCCCAATCAGGTGTCCAGCTGATGCATTTCCACCTGGGACTTTGAGTCTGAGGCCAGTGCTTTTGAGTCTGGTGCCCTAACCCACCGTGGGGAGGCCTGACTGAGTGGTTAATGATGCCAATGTTCCTCCCTGGCATGACTTTAGATTAGCTGACTAAACTACGCTCCTACAAAGCCATCGGTGTTTGAGTTTCTGCTTCAGTTGCTTGATTTGCTGGGGGTGGATCCAAAGACCCATATTGCCACAATATTGTTACACCCAAACTACCAGCTGTCCTGCTGAGTCGCAAGTGCTACTGCACTGTCTGGCTTGCTCTCTGCTCCCCTTAGTCCAGAGAGACGGCGAGCTGCTATCTTGCTTGGATTCAAAAACTAAAACCACATGTAAAGATCAGGGGTTATAGTGAAACTTCAGTCCCTGATCTCCATGCCACTTTTGAATACTGGGGTGGGGGGACTGTAAGTTTAGATTGAGTGCCCCAGTCAAACATTAAGGCTGGTAGTCTGGAGGTTTGCCCTACACCTCCTTGCCCTGTTCGTCTACTGTACTCTTCAGTCTGTGCTCTGTAACCTGTACAGTTGGCCTCTTGGTCTGCTCTATTTTTAGTTCAGTTCTGTTAAGTGACACTAGTCGAGGCACAGCTGTCGCATTCTTCTCTGCCTATTTTAGGCGAATAACCTTTCTTGAAGGCTGGGGGTCATCCAGTGATCTTTAACTCCGACCTCTAGCCTTTTCCTGGGTGGAATGTGGTCCACAAATGAGATCCGTTCAGTAATGGCATTTTAGTTATAGGTCAGGCTCCCACTCTGTGACCTGGAGTGGTTCAGTCAGCTTTGCTGGTTGTGGAGGCGCTATACAACCCAAGCCTGCAGTTCCTAAGTGGGTTTCCCACTACAGGATGTGTTAGACCTCTGTACAGCAGGTGCTGGCTTGTCCTGATGATGCCCACCACTTGAACCCGAGATGCACTTCTGGAAGCTAGTGTTAAAATGGGAATTCAGCTGCATGAAAGGACACAATAGGGTTTATAATTTTAAAGGACCTTCTCCAATCAAGCCTGGTGACTTACAAGGGCTGCCCATTTCAGTTCTGGTGTGCTGTGGCTTTTTTCAGGCTTTCCTCTCCAGCTGAAGAAAGGAGCAGTGGGATGACTCCTCCCCTCCAGTTTGGAGGTAGCCAGCCAGTCAGGACTGGGGTGGGGCAGTGGGGAGATAATGGACCCACTTCTGACCTTAGACCCAGATAAAACCCTGTTTATCAATTACTTTTATGGAAGTGTGTGAATGTTCTGTGCTTGCTTCCTACTATGAACAGCCCCTTTCTGCAGAAGAGGACAGAACCCTGTACTGTCTTGTTAATATTCACCTTTGAAAACTGCACTTTGGCCCTTAAATTTCCTTCAAAAACATGAACTATGCCACAAAATGGGCACTGGGTACCTTACTGCACTGAGGTTGGTGGTCCTTTTGGCCTGATACGAATGACTGTTCAATCTGCTTGTGGAGCCTGTGTTGGCTGGTTCACCTCCCTCTGTGTCATAGAAACCCCTCTCTGCCACTACAGCATGTATGAACAGGACCTACCCGTTTCCATCTCCTTATTCTCGGCTGCGTTTAATTACTGGTAACGACAACACTGGCTAAACATCAACCTGTTTTCTCCTTTGGGTTTTGCTGATCAAATATTTGTGCAAGTCTGGAGTTGTGCAATGCTGGGATGGGTTAATATGTATAGATATGAACTTCAGTCCTAATACCGAAGTGCAGTGGCTAATGGCGAACTCAAGGCCTTTATCTAAGAAGCTCTCGGTAGTTGAGAGAGTGACTGGATGCTGCCCCCTTCTGGTGCAGGTTGGAACAGTATTTTCAACTTGACACTGAGCAGTTGGCCATCAAAGGGCTGAAGATGCTCTCAGGTCCTGGAGTATCTCGATCTGTTGGCTTTTGTTCCAGTTGGGTCCTTAATGTTAACTAGCACCAGCAACTGACTTGCTTGCTGGTTTAGATTTCAAATGCACTATTGATGTGAATTTACTCCCTTATCTGTGCTATTTATCACAGGCTTCCTCTCTATTGCACACCATTGAGCTTTTAGACCTGGAAGCACATTTTAAAGGCCTTGCATGGAAGATTTGAGTCTTGCCTGTGGTTAAGATCTTGGCATAAGACAACCAGAAGGCTTAAGTGCTGCCTGAGTTTTGATTTGATTGCCTTACTTAATAGGGGAAATACATGCACCACCTTCACATCCAGTTGACACCTTAACAGTTTTGTAACTGTACTCAAATCTAAGCCCTACCTTAAGGCTCAAAAGCAGAGAATAGGTTGGTAATGGCTTTTTTTTTTTAAATAAAGCCTTCATCTTTAAGTGATGGGTGTCCTTGCACATCTTGCATCCACAATTTCAAGAGGACTGTTCCCTACAGCTGAATGAGAAGCCCTTGGGATAACAAAGGGATAAGCCAGAGCGTGGGCTCCTGTGTTTCAGCACAAGCATCGGGAGCTCTGACTTGGCAGTGACACTCGGATCAGCTGGACTTCATGTGGTCTCCACTTCCCCTCATACTGGAAAGAGAGCAGTTTCGGGGGGCTCTGCTGCCACCCTGTGGCAACTTGATTTTGTTGTGGAAACCTAGACGCATAGGCTTGAACCCCTTCTTGCTATCGCTGTTCCAAGTCAAGACTCCGTTTCCTCGTATCGTGTTCTTGACTGATCGGTGTGCCCTCTAATATCCAGGGTTTTTTTTTTTTGTGCAATCAGATTTGGCCGCATTGGGCGTCTGGTGACCCGTGCTGCTGTGACTTCTGGGAAGGTGGAGGTCGCGGCCATCAATGATCCTTTCATCGATCTGGAGTACATGGTAAGCTGTTAACGGCTTTGAACAAAAGGAGTACATATCTGAAGTTTCTAATAGGGCTGCAGTTCTCCTCCTGCCCACTAGATGGGGGGGGGTGTAGGGTAGTACATGCATTGTGCTCCATGACCTGCTTGGTTTCCGTTGTTAATGTCTACCCTCCATTGTTCTGTCCCAGGTCTACATGTTCAAATATGACTCCACACATGGCCGTTTTCATGGGGAGGTGAAGACTGAGGGAGGCAAGCTGGTGATCAATGGCAAACCCATCACGGTTTTCCAAGAGTGAGTGCTTCAGCTTCTCTCAAGCAAAGTCTTCCCACTGAATGCCCTCTGGGGAGCTGGGCTCATTCTTAACATTCCCCCTGTTGATGGTGCTGAAGAGCAACTCTTAAAGGTTCTTCAGTAAAGTTTTCTACAGCAGTTCCTAGTCTTCATGTGCCAGTCCGTATTGTGACATTTGTCTGCCTCTTGTAGGAGAGACCCAGCCAACATCAAGTGGGGAGATGCAGGTGCAGACTACGTGGTGGAGTCCACTGGCGTCTTCACCACCACCGAGAAGGCTTCTGTAAGTACCTGGAAGGGAGACTGTCCTTCAGATGAGGCTTAATGACAGAGTCAGGACCTTGTTTTTTTTTTTTTTTACAAATTCCCGTGTTTCTTGAAAAGAGATTATCCTGGCCGATCATGGCCACCTAATCCCATCTCTGGACTGGCTTCATCACTGCTCTCCTCCCCCCTGAGAGCTGATGTTTTAGGGGTGGGGGGAGACTGGTACATCATCCAGGTTTGAGTATATGTTGGTGGTGGAAGTGGGATTCCCTGTTACCTGCAAAGGGCTTTATAAGTGTAAGACTCTTATTTCTCTGCCTTTCTCAGGCTCATCTCAAGGGGGGTGCCAAGCGCGTCATTATCTCTGCTCCTAGCGCTGATGCCCCCATGTTTGTGGTGGGTGTCAATCATGAGAAGTACGACAAGTCATTGAAGGTTGTCAGGTAAGAGGGGCTGCTTCCTTGTAGCTGGTCGGGACAGCCGTGTCTTGGTTCGGTTTGGGAGGGGTTTAATTGTGATGCAACTGGTTATTTCTGGGGAGACCGTGCAGTTCAGGGCACTGTGGGGGGGCAATCCAACAGTTAGAGGGCTTTGTGTGTCCAGCTCTGGTGGCCTTGTTCTTATAAAGGGTTTTTTTAGTGACATTACCAAAGTGGTCCAGTGTGACCCATTGGCTATTGCTGATTTAATGTATAATTATGAGTGTCTTTAAAATTCACTTGCTCACTCCAGATTAGGGTCTACAGGTGGGAGAGTAAATACATTTTCTGGTAACTTTTCTGTGGCTTAAGGAAATATGGTTCTCCAGAGGCCTATTGCTCCAAGATGGGGGAGCTATGAACTGGACTCCTGATGGAGACTTGGTGTTTGGTGTCAAGTCATCTTTGTGACTGCTCATCAAGTCTCCCCACTCTGTTGGGGCAATTGTAAATGATACCCACCAGGCTGCTTTGAGTTTGTATTCAAATGGCAGTGCGGAGTAAGGTTCTGGTTCTGCCCTTAGTGGCTGCAAAGCTGCCTAAAGGGCACAACCCCACCCCCACACTGTACACTGAGCTTTCCAACTGTTTTAGGAGTAGTGACTTGAGGCTTTCAACTTGAATACAATAAAATTGTACCCATTGGGGAGAAAGTGTTACTTTTTTTTTAGCTAATGTGTAAACTTTTTCTTGCAGCAATGCTTCCTGCACCACCAACTGCCTGGCCCCTCTGGCCAAAGTGGTCAATGACAACTTCACCATCGTTGAGGGGCTCATGGTAAGAGCAGAACACTTGTGGGACAAGCTAGACTGCGTTGCTGCTAAGGGTTTATGGGGTGTGTGAAACATGTCAGGCGTAGGGATTCCTAACGCTGCTACAATCCAGCAGGTGTCCTAGACCTTGACGTATGCTGACTGGGGGTGGAGGGGTTTGGTTAAATGGGGGTAGTTGGGTACTTTTCCCCAGTTAGTGAACTTACTGGGGTCCAGATTCCAAATGATGCTTCAGAACTGTCCAGTCCTGGTCCTGGACGGCTGTTATCTGAAGGTCTCCCACATAAGAGCTGGGAGATACAAACAAATAATCTGGATACTTGTAACCTTCAGAGTACAAGTGCAGTGAAAGCCTCTAGAGTAAAGGCTATTGGTTAAGGTGGTGGTAACGATGTTTTCCTTCCTCAGACCACAGTCCACGCCTACACAGCCACCCAGAAGACTGTGGATGGTCCTTCAGGGAAGCTGTGGCGTGATGGCAGGGGGGCCCATCAGAACATCATCCCAGCATCCACCGGGGCAGCCAAGGCTGTTGGCAAAGTCATTCCTGAGCTGAATGGGTCAGTCCCACTGCTTCATTACTCTCGCCCCTCACCCTGGTGCTTGCCTTTTAAGTTGCCAGCAGTTGTTGGGGGAGGGGAACTAGTCAGTGGTGGTTTACTGTAATAGTTTTAAGGTCTTCTGCTCCTACTGTTGGCTCTTACTACACTAGCCAGTGAGTGTCTTAATCTCCTGGTGCAGTCGCTACCTTAACTCCATGGAATTCTGGGTTATCAGTCCCTGTCCCCTTTTCACCTTGACTATAGTTTACTATAGCAATGCTAACTGACCACCTCCTTTCTCCAGGAAACTGACTGGAATGGCTTTCAGGGTTCCCACTCCCAATGTCTCTGTGGTTGACCTGACCTGCCGCCTGGAGAAACCAGTGAGTCTTCCCAGCAATCCCTGCCTCTTGCCCACTTCATTGGGAATGAATGTCTCAAGGCAGTCGTCGTCCACCATGGCTGCTTTTTCATTGTGCACCATCTTGACTGGGAAGGGGGTGTGGGGAAATGCATCTTTGACCAAGATGGGGGTGGGAAGCTCCATCCAACATGCTTAATTGACCCCTCTGCACTCCTCTCAATTCTTCAGTAATTTGGCACCTGCCTGCCAAAACCCATGTCATTCAGCTCCAAGACTGTCCTGTTCAAGTGCTGGCATATGCCTAAAACGTCTGTTGATCCATGCTATAAATAACACGGCATAGTGGGTAAAACCCCAGGACTGTACTGCTTTCTTGGTGCTCACTTGTTCTCCATGTCCAAACTCTCCTGCTTCTTAGGCTAAGTATGATGACATCAAGAAAGTGGTCAAGGCTGCTGCTGAGGGACCCATGAAGGGAATCCTGGGATACACAGAAGACCAGGTAGGTTTCTAGCCGTGTATTGCCTGAGCACCTGGCTAAAGCCCTGTATCTGCCAGTTAAAATGCCAAAACTCGCAAGATATCTGGCTTTGTAGATGTGTAAGAACTGTTTGAGTGCAGCTGTTCTAAGGACTAACCCTGCAGTTCTGATTTCATCTATGGAAACCAGTAAGGTGCAGGGTGTAACCTTATTGCAAACCGTGCTGAAGGATGCTTCCGCAACTGCCTGAATCGGGACCTTCTACTGCTATAAGGTTACTCTAGTTTGACGTGCCAGTGGACTATTAAATCCTGCTGCCCTGTCTGTACCAGTGCTCTACACTGTGCCCATGGTGCAGGTTTTACTCTGCCACCCTTAAGTTCACCCCCCTCTCTCTTCTCAGGTCGTCTCATCCGACTTCAATGGCAGCACCCTGTCATCAATCTTTGATGCCGGCGCTGGGATCTCCCTGAATGACCACTTTGTTAAGCTCGTCACATGGTATGTGTCTTCCATCTATGGGGTGATTTAAAGTTGAGGTGGGGTAGGCAACTTTTTGTTCCCCTGTTCCTCCACAATTCCTTTGAATGTGGAGGTAATGAATACTGCCACTGCATGCAAGACTAGGTCAGTTGTTGTATCTAACAATTTGTGCAACTGCAATGAGAGCTGTTAGGCCCCACTTCATGTAGTCAAGATGTGGCTTGATCAGGACCACTAGAGGGAGCCATCAGCCTGACATCTCCATCCTAGCTTAGTGTGAGCAAGTTAAACATGCTTTTACTGATGTCTGCCAATTCAGAAAGGTCCACCCGTTTTGTGGCCTTTAGCTGAATACCCTTGGCTTGCCCTGCTCCTTGGGGGAAGGATCTGGCAAATTCTGCCATCTGCTTGCACCCCACGTCTACATACAAAGCTCACCAGCTGCTGTCCTCTTCTAAATGCAGGTACGACAACGAGTTTGGCTACAGCACCAGAGTGGTTGACCTCATCGTCTACATGGCTTCCAAGGAGTGAAGCCCACCCTAGGTCAGAGGGTATACCAGTCCTTCGACTCGACCTGTCCTCGCCCTTCACGTCCTGCCCTCCATTGGCTGGTTTTTCTTTCTTCCAACTCGTCGAGCGGTATCATTCTGCTGTAGCTCTACACTTTCAGTGTGAGGAGTGGAGATGGGGAAAACTCTGGTAGACGGATGTGCTTGGTGAGAAACCAGCCAATGAGGCCACCCCGAACTGTCATGTATCTGCACTTAATAAAGTCCTCGGTTTGTGAGAAGATCTTGTGCCTTGTGTTTTAATTGGGGGGGCAGTGTTGGGGTGCAGGGAACTACTCACTTTAGCTGAAGCAACCCCTTATTCCTCCACCAGGTAAGTCATTTTCTTGTGGTTGGAACCTCCTGTTCAAGTTAAACTCTTGTCCCAGACATTTAAGTCTAAAACCTAGGTGAGCTACAGTCCTCTATCCTCTAGTTCAGAGTCTTAACCCCTCCATCACATTTTCAAGTTGCCTTCACTAAGCTGGGAGTGGTGTAGCTGTCCAAAAGGATGTTAATGACTGGAGTTCCTTGGTGTGATGGAAGCTGGATTCCTCTATTTGGAGAGGCTTTTTTTTTTTGTCTTGCCCTCCCAAGTGAAATGGAAAGCCTAAATTCCCTTCAAGGTATGGTTCTTGGGTTGTGAAGGAGCTTGGTGGCTTATGAATGCCTAAACCTTTTTCACTAAGCAATTTATCCTCTTGATCCAGCTTTAGGCTGGTCAGTTTGAGGAACTGGTTGTATTTTCCTGTGTCCATGTTACACTTCATTTTGGTCCTGAACAAGTATGCCCTCAGCTTATTGCCCATGACAAATTGAAGGTTTTTTCTATCTTTCACAATTGTTTATGCTATGGTTTTCAAAGTTATTTTTTTCTGTAGTGTGGAGTGAAATTAAGGTGTATATAGCAGACAAAGCATTGTTTAGTAGGGTAGTTATACTGTATGTACACATGCATTGTAACTCTTAATCATGCTGATCTCTTAGGCTATAAACAGTGCAACAGCCAATGCCACACAATGTGGACATGAACAGGAGCAATAAATGTGGACTATGTAGTAATGCAAGAAGTGTGTAGTTCAGATTGGCTGAGGCATTGCAGTTGGCCTGTGCTTGGGTAGTGTGGTAATGCTTGCCAGAGCACAGGGGTGAACAGTATAATTGTTTTGTTTTTTGCATCTTCCCCACAATTCCCAGAAATTGTTCTTGCTGCTTGCAGGTAAATTCTGGGAATGGGCCGAGTTTGCTGTTGCGTGGGTCTTGTTTGGGAAGTGCCTCGGTTGAAGTCTCCATCCTTTTATAGTGCCTTGGCTCTGTCCTGTTGGAACTGTGATGGGTTCTGGGGGAGCTGCTTCTGATGGGGTCCCTCATGAGATGGGGCCTCTTCTGGTGCCTTTGAATCCAGTCTGTTTTGGTTCAGCCTGCCACCCAAGACTGGTGGAGATGATACAATTGTCAGTTCAAGTTGTAATCTGTGTGATTAACTTATTGGTTAGTGATTTCTTGGTCCTCAACCAGCCATGTTTAAGCCAGTGCTCTGGGCTCTTTCCAGCAATGGATGAGATCAGTAAGTACTGGCAACCAACTGCACTGGTGAGCCGAGTCTTGTTTGTAACCAGTTTCTGTGCTTTGGAAAAGCAATATAAGTACTTGGGTTTGGTGTCAGCTAGCAGGTATGTTTTTGGGGGGGTTAATTGAATCTTCGCTGTAATGCACAGCAGTCCTGACTGTTAATCTTCATGTTCACTGTGTGAGATAAATTACTGGGCTTCCTCAGGGTTTTGCTGCATAGACACTGAGGGGGCTCCTGTTACTCGGATTGTGAGCATGAGCTCAGCAGGAGAGGAAATGCTTCGTCGTTGCCGGTGCACATTCCAATACACATCGCCATCGAAACTGGTCCGCCCCCTGTCGGAGGTCTGTGGGCTAATGGGCGGGGGCTTCGATTTCATATCGCTCCCCCTGTCCTGCTCTCTGGCTCCGTGCCCTAATGAGAACTGACAGGTCTCGGGCGGCACCCTCCATCGCCTCCGGTTTCAGGCCGGGAATCCTAGCATTCCGTAAACACTGAGCGACGGAGAAAACCACGGTTCCTCCAGTACAAAGTCTCTACGTCGGAAGTTAGGGGGGAGATAATTTGCACGGATGGAAACTCATGAATCTAAATTTCTTTTCATAAATCTTAAATTCTGAAATATTCAATGAATCAGGA